ACATATACTTCCACCACACCCTGATCTTCATCCACAACAACTTGGTATGCTGATTCTTGGGCCACTAATCACTTTACAAATGACATGAGCAACTTTTCTCTTAATACACTGGACCTGACAAAGTTAATGTTGCCAACGGTGAATCAACATTATATTATACTCTTCTCACTCATCTTTTAACTTAAAAAAAATTTATTCACACTCGACAACACACAACTTGCTCTCAGTTCACAAATTTTCCAATGATGTATGACAATTTTGATCTAACTTGCACTCATTTCTCATGTATCATCAAGGATCATAGTAGGGGAAATATCCTTTTTCAAGGCGTTACTGAAGGCAGTCACTAACCCATTCATCTATCCAAACGTAAGCCATCTTTTTTTTTTACTTCAACGCCATTGGCACAACCTCTCTTTGGCACAAATGGCAAGGTCATCCTTCAACTCACGTCCTCCATCAAATCTTATCTACCAACAATCTTTATGTTCCTCTTGAAACCCTAGACCTTCATCTTGCTTCTACAACCCTTTTCTCCCAACCGTCCCTTCTTCACCCCCTCCCCTCGGCTCCCACTTGGCCCTCTGCCTTATACACTTCCACCGCACCCTCATCTTCATCCACAACAACTTGGAATGCTTATTCTTGAGCCACTAATAACCTTACAAATGGCTTGCGCAATTTTTCCCTGCATCCTGAATACACTGGATCTAACAAAGTTAATGTTGCCAACACTGTACACTTATCACTCATCTTTTCATTTAAATCAAATTCTTCGCACACTCCACAAGCCACACACAACCTACTCTCAGTTCACAAATTTCCCAATGACAACAATTGTTATCTAACTTGCACTCCTTTCTCAGGTGTCATCAATGATAATACTACAGGGAAAATCCTATTTCAAGGCCCTACTGAAGGCAGTCTCTAACCCATTCATCTGTCCAAAAGCAAGCCACAACCTCTCTTTGGCACAAACAACTAGGTCCTCCTTAAGCTCATTCATCTGTCCAAAAGCAAGCCACAACCTCTCTTTGGCACAAACAACTAGGTCTTCCTTAAGCTCACGTCGTCCATCAAATCTTATCTATCAATCAACTTTCTTTTCAATGTACCTTTTTGCCATTTTATCAATCTTCATGTAATTCCCAATTCCCTCTTCAATTAATACATTCGTATCTATGGGGTCACAAGTACTATGTGATTTTTGTTGATGACTGGCCCAGATTCTATTGGCTATATCCATTACATTGTAATTCTAACACTTGATTTCAAAATTTCACAAATCAAGTTGCGAACCTTGTATTCTTTTGTTCTAATTCTAGAGACTCACTACTACAAAATAACCCTTGCGCGACAAAAAATTATTCGTTGCGCAAACACACTTTGCACGACGAAACTCAAAACTTCGTCGCGAAAAACCTTGCGCGACCAACTTTTGCGCGACGAAAAATAATTCGTCGCTCAAAGTGACTTTGCGCGACCAACTTTTGCGCGACAACAATACGTCGTCGCTCAAAGTCTTGCGCGACCAAATTTTGCGCAACGAAAAATAATTCGTCGCTCAAAGTAACTTTGCGCGACGAAAAAAAATTCGTCGCTCTAAGTAACTTTGCGCGACGAAAAATAATTCGTCATGCAAAGCTACTTTGCGCGACGAAACAATTAACTTCGTCGCGCAAAGTCCTTATAAAAATAAATAAAATAAAAAATTTATTTTTTAAAATCTTTGTTAGAAAAATATATTATTGTTGTTTGGATTGGGTTTTTATTAGAAAATATATTTTTTAAATTGACGATCAAATTAGTTCATTGTATTCATATAGGGTCAAAGAGTGTAGCTATAAAAAAATCATCAAAATCGGAGTTAAAATAACCGTTAAATCGTGATTTTTCATTTATAACCGTCGAAAAGTTTTGTCCCATTACTTGATCTCTGAATGTTTATTTTTTCCGATTTTTGGCGTATATGATCTCGAAGTATAAACAAACAAGTTTGACGGTTGGATCGTTCAAACTAGTTTCGTAGAATGCGTATGCCATCAAAACAATATATTCACTAACAATTAAGAGTTTATTTATACTTTTGTTAAATATAACATAAGATTTTGTGGTATCCACTAGTGTAAATATTTTCAATTGACGATCGAATTAGTTCATTGTATTCGTATAAGGTCAAGGAGTGTAGCTGTAAAAAAATCATCAAAATCGGAGTTAAAATAACTGTTAAATTGTGATTTTTCATTTAGAACCGTTGAAATTTTTTGTCCGGTTACTGAGTCTCCGAATGTTTGTTTTTTGCTATTTTTGGGGTATATGATCTTGAAGTATATACAAACAAGTCTGACGGTTGGATCATTGAATGGTGTGTGTATATATATATATATATTTATTTCCTTATTAAGAAATTGGTATATACATTTATTAAGTAGCTTTAACCTTATGTATATTTTAAATCGTAAAAAAAAAAATTTATTATTCATAACAATTATTTTTATAAATATCGTGCTACAAACCAATTTTTCGTCTTTCAAAAGTTTGCGCGACCAACAATTCGTCTTTCAAAACTCTAAAAATTTGGGCGGGTACCAAAAATGGGACGCTGGATTTTTAAAAAATAAAATAAAATTTAGACTTTGCGTGACCAATATTTTTTGTCGCTCAAAACTTTGCGCGACCAATATATAATTTTCGTGGCAGAAAAATTTGGGCGGGTACCAAAAATGGGATGCGGAAATTTTTTTAGACTTTGCGTGACCAATATGTATTTTTCGTCGTGCAAAAATTTAAAAATTTGGGCGGGTACCAAAAATAAGACGTGGGAATTTTTAAATTTTTTTTAGACTTTGCGCAACCAATATTCCTATATTCGTCGCGCAAAACTTTGCGCAACCAATATGTTTCGTCGCTCAAAAGTTTCCGCGACCAATATTCCAATATTTTTCGTCACGCAAAGTTATACGATTTTTAAAACCAAAATAACTCCTCCACCATTTTCTCAATGTCTTTCTCTACTCTTACCTCTCCTCTCTCTTTC